GACCAAAGATAACCCAGCAACGCCAGCTGTGGACGACATAGAGGAAATAGAGGACGCGATATTAAATCTAGGGTTTCAAAAAGACCTCTTTTTTTCTATTAGACTTCTTTATGAAGCTGCGGTGATAGAGGAAGGGAGAATAGGTCTCTCTTTCAATATCCTTGGCGAAGCCTGGCAATAAAATCTAGTGTGTGTGAATATATATATATATCACTTATATATATATATATATATATATATATATATATATATATATATATATATATATATATATATATATATATATATGTATATATATTCGTCAAGACGTTACCATTTTCATCATTATTACATTCATTTGAGGTTTAAATATATATATAATAGAGCATCTCAGGCAACAGGAAAGGCAAAAAGAAATGTTTAAAGAGATCAGAACACAAACAACAAAATGTAAACCTCCAATGAATGTAATAAATGATGAAAATGTAACGTCTTGACGACGAGCAAAGAAATACTAGTACACTAGAAGGAAAACTGTGGAGAAAGGTACAAAGATTCGAAATACATTGTCAGAAAGTGCCGATAAAACTGAAAAGAGAAAGAGCCTGAAACTCTATTAGTAAAAGTAAGAACAGCAGTCAAGAATTTAAAAAATGGTAAACTTTCGAGATGTGACTACATACCAGCAGAGTTAATTCTGGAAGGGAAGCCAGAGTTATTCTAAACCATGCACTGTGTGTGAAAATCATGAACAATGCGTGGAAAAATCAGTTTTTACTGCACTCCCGAAAAAAAAAAAAAGATAATCTCAAATCATGCAACAATTACAGTACTTTAGCTTTAATTAGTTATGCCAGAAAAATTCTACTTCAAATCATGTTGATGAGGATCGACAATAAATTAAATATGAATTACAAGAAGCACAGGCGGGTTTTAGACGGGGCAGAGGAACTAGAGACCATATTTTCAATATAAGAATAGTCCTAGAGAAGTGTAGAGAAAACAAGATAGATCCAGCCAATCTGTCTGTTGGCTAGATCTGAACCACTGGGTGGTGAATGGATACATGACAAGGCACATGTGGCCAAGGTCCTTTGGGAACCAGCAACGGAATCAGAGTAGAGTAGGAAGATTATTATGGCCTAGAGGAAAACAGGCACCTGGATTTAACCAAAGGATCTGGCCGGCTCACTATACTCAGAGGAAAGGCAAGACGGACATATAAACAGATTGTGACCGGTACCATCAGTACTGGAACTCTGCGCTGGCTGTTGAAGATGAGGACGGAGCGTGCATGTGAATGCCGCGAGTGCTGTGATGTTTATTCTTGACAACTCAACTCAAATACAAGAAAGATCTTTATACTTGTTTCATAGACTACAGCAAGGCATTTGACTGTGTGCAGCACCATACACTGTGACTTACAATGAGAGACATGGGATTTCCAAAACAATTGGTGCACTTAATGGAAGCTCTTTACCATGAACAACAAGAAGCGGTCAGAGTAGCAGGTGAAACATCAGAGGGGTTTCAAGTTCAGAAAGAAGTGAGACAGGGTTGTATTTTTTTCCCTCTTTCTTTTCAACATTCACACTGAACATTTTATGAGAAACGCAATTAGTGTAGGGCCTGTGAGAGCTTTGATTCACTAAAAATTGAAGGTAATTCTATCCCAGAACACGGATACGCAGACGACAGTTCTCCTTTCCAATAGTGTACAAGGCTTAGAGAAATTAATTCTGGCCGTCAAAAAGCACAGCGAAGAAGTGAATCTTGTTCTTAAAAAAAATTCATGTTCTTAGTAAATTATCACTTCAACCACATATCACAATCGAAAATGAAGAAACAAAAAATGTCACACATTTTAAATACTGGGGCTCTTTAGTGAACAACAATGGCGACTGCTCGAAAGAAGTCAAGAATAGATATAAACCCGAAAGAAAAGTATATCAGCAAGCTTCACAATATACCAAACCCAAACAAAACGTGAACGTATTGGCTATGGAGCCTTCAATAGCACATACACAAATTAGACAATGCTACACAAATACACAATATCACTTATCTTCGTATCTCAATGCAGCCAGGACGATGTCTAATCAATAGAATGCGGGACACGTCAGAAGCGAAAATAAATATCCCGGGGAAAGCCAGGGACTGAAACTTGAGGATAAGATGAATCTGTGTAGTCAGTTCAGCCCTCTAGGATTTTAGATAAAGCTGTATTGGTAGTTTAATCCACTAGGCGCCAGAGTTACCAAAGTGTATATAAAGTGATTTTCAAGAGACGTGCGAATTCTGTCCCTGGAGTGGCTAGAAGTAATGACTGTCAACTCCATGTCATTGACACCTTGGTGGTCCTGAGAATTAAATTGCAATGGTACTGGTTTCAATGTGAAGTTCTGCGCATCCAAACGATGTCTGAACCTGTCAGCCAGTCGTAAACCCGTTTCACCTATCTATTTTACACCCATCTCTTGCAGTTGATGGCATAAATGACATTGCGGCTTGTGCAGTAGAATAATACACGTATGTGGAAGGTGGCATTCGAGAATTCCAAGCTGGAACTCGGAACGATTTATATACATGTCCTGCATACAGGTCTGTGGCAAGAGGCCGTCCCAAAGAGGGACTCAGAGGCAGCGCGTAACCGACTCTTAGATAGAATATCCTTAAGGTTACCGTTAGGCCTGTAGGCCACTAGAGGAAGTTCAGAGAAAATCTTGCTGGTAGTAGCGTCAGCCCAGAGGATGGAGAGATGCTTGATGAGAATATATTTAGCCCAGATGCTGTGGTGGTTGTAGGTAAGTCTGAGAATGGGTCTGTTATTTTGCCGTTTAGACTTAAAAGCGAGAGCCTCAGCAAGATGGATAGATAGTGCTCGGTGAAAGGTAACGGATAGGAAATGTCCCAGATACTCTCGGCACCGGAAGAAGTCATCAATTTCTAGGGCCTTGTGAAAATCGTCGTTCTACCGGCATAATCTTAGGAGGCGTAGAAGATGGGAGTAAGGAACGGAGTCCGTGCAGGAAGAGAGATGTGAAGACGTGTAAAGAAGAAAAACATGTGAATCATTAGGCTTATAGTATACCAAGGTTCTAAGGACTTTAGAGTTCACGGTGACAGTGAGCTCCAGAAAATGCACCGATTAGTAGTAGTAATAGTATATTTTACCCAACTAGGACATCACAGGCGATAAACACCATAAACACCAGATGACACAAAGTACCACCATGTGAATGAGGATCACCCGTGGAGAGATCCCGCAAACCGCGTTCAGCCATTAGACCATATTTATGGTCGGGTTATATTGCGGTCCCTGGCGAGAGCCAGGAAGGGGGTTTCTAAATAACAAAAAAATTGCATCCCACAAGGAGTTGACTTGTGATATTAAATGCACCTATGAAGATGAAATTCTGAAAGTGCAGCGGATGCTTGGATGGAAGTTGGGGAAACAAATTAATAAAGTTTTGCAATTCAGATAGAGACATATCAGTGACACCGATGCAGTCATCGATATACCTCTTGTAGAACTCAGGTAGCCTACCGGTATAGGCATAACGTATCTGATGCTAGAGGTAACCCATATAGAGGCAGACATAACTTGGTGTAGAGGGAGGTAACATCTAGGGTGAAGATGTGGTAAAGTAAAGTAGAGGACCGTTTCCACGCCTTTAGGCGTATAGGGCATATAGGGCTAGACCTATTTTTTTAGGCCAACGGCACAAGATGGGTGATTTGGTCAGCATCAAGCCGGCCGCCTTTACTTCCCGGGACTGCACCCGGTATCCACTCACGGTCTTTTTTGAAAAAAAGTCTGGCTCCGCCAGGGAGCGAACCCGCGACCTTCCGATCCGCGACGCGCGTCTAGCCGCTTTGCCATGGCGACTCCCTGAAGATGTGGTACCTGGAAGAAAAGGTTATCCGGATGGACTTAAAAACGGAGATAGCATGGTTATTGTTCTTCATGTAAGACGGAAGACCAACGACCATGGGCTGCAATATCAGGTCGAGAAACTCAGAAATGAGTTCTGTGAGACAGGCTCAGGCGGACACGATCGGTCTGCCTGGGTTGTCAGGTTTATGTATCTTGGGAAGCATAAAAAGGCCGGGCTTTCCCAGAAAGCTTCCGAAAGAAGTCAGAAGAAGACTTGCATTAGCAATGCAATGATTAAACAGCATAAAAAACCTATGTCAAAGTACCTGTATATTATAGAAAAAATCTTGAATTCATGCATTTGTCCTGTGGCAACTTATGGGTGTGAGTCCAGAACTCTAACTTAATCACTGAAGAAAAAGATTACTTACTTTTACTTTTTCCTTCCACGTATGCCGCTAAGCGTTGTGGGGAGATGCAAGTTCCTGTCGTAAGCAAGGCGGGCAGCATCTGATGTTCTGAGGCCATGCTTTTGGCAGGTTTCGGAGACCCCGTCAATCCACCGTTTGAAGAAAAAGATTGGAGGTTTTAAATTAAAATGTTACAGAAAGATTTTCGGAATACCATGGATCAAAAAGAGGAAAAACATTGACATTCTACATGATTTAAACATCCAGAAGAACTGGCTCGTAAACAGCATCCTGTCCCGGCATTTGAAGTATTTAGGCCACATCAAACGTCATGGTGGCTTGGAAAATATGGCGTTAGAGGGTACAGCTTGTGGAAGACGAGGCAGGGGTCGAGCTTCACCGAGATGAATAAAGGATATTAAAGATGCGTTGGAAATGAAAGCACATGGGGCTGTAGAGCTAGCTGGGTAAAGAGATACTTTCAGGGTCCCGGGAACAGAGCGATGTTTTGTATAGAACATATTGATTGATGATGATATATGTATATATTATATGTGTATTTGTAAATACGTGTGTTTGTTTTTGGGGAAGGGGAGCGATATGTTATTTGTATGTATTTAATTCGAAAAATCTAGAATGTTGTAAATATTTGGTATCGTTTATCAGCACTGCAAAACTATGGTAATAAACAATTTAACTGGTATTGAAATTGTTAATATGTCTCTAACATACAGGTGCGAAAGAATCAATCTAATGGCTTCCCGTCAACTTATCAGCGGCCGCCATTTGTTAAAGATGGAGGTTTTTGGACTATCACAATTTATTTCACAGATCCATGTGAGTAATCATAACGTTAGCATGCAATAAATCATAATAGTAATACATGAAACCAGAAAGGGAACCGGAACAATGAGGAAATGACTGCAGATATGTTGAGAGTCGTCTTCTAAAAATAAAAAGTACATTCAATTCTTGCAAGACAACATTGATCATGGAAACCAATGCTCAAGCTGTGAAAGACGTTTCTTAACAAAAGTGTTTTAACTTGCCATTGTCATTGTCTATTAAGCGACGTGCTTAATTTTATAGTGGACGTAACAAAGGTTCTCTAGGATTAAATGGAGGGTTAAAAAAAAAACGTTTTGACCAAGTTGCAGCTAGTATCATGAGTATTGGAACGTTTTTTTTTTCTTTATATGTGGCTACGAAAGATGTGACCAGAACAAATACGGGAAGGTAGGTAAGTTGTACCCCACCAGGACACACACAAGCGATAAACATCCGGTGACAGAACGTGCCACCATGCAGATGAGGATCACCCGTGTAGAGGTCCTGGAAACCCCATTCAGCCGTCAGGCCATATTTGAGGCCCGTCTATATTTGGGGCGCGTTGCGAAAGACAGGGTGGGGTTTCAAATAACGAAAAATTGCATCCTACAAGGGGACGACTATAGTAACAATAGAGAACAAATATGGGAATGTCTCGAGGCCAGCGATGTTACTTGATGCATTTACTCATGTTAATTTGGCCATATGAACATACATATTTCAATGCTAAAATGTGTTGACAGACGAAATTCTGAAGTGGTATTCATTGGGTTGAAAATGGTATATAAGGGGGGATATCATGGTGCAGAATCATAATGTAAAAAACACCATTTCCTATTAGGATGTCTCAAGTGCATAGATGTCAGTTATTCGAACTTTCGAGTAATCTTTGTACAGTAAACTATGTGTATAAATCAATACATGCACACATGTAGACTCACACCGGTAGTCTCCAATTACCGACAGGACGACATTACACTCCTACATTCTATGTGCTCAAGACTGTTAACGGGCAACTCGCGGTTAAGGCACCAAACCTGGTGAAGACAACCCAGACCACTGTCCGATACCTAGTCAATCATGGAAGTATTCTTGATACCTCCCCATCACGACCTCACGCAAGTGAACTCTCAGCTCTCACGACAACTCCTTAAAACTTGCATAAACTCGTCCCCGTCAACCAGCGTGACACATTCAGAATTTCCATCTTCTGATACACCAACTTCACTAGCACAGTCCGGTAGTTCTAACTGAATAAAGTCACACACTCGCGCGCTAAAACAGACTTGAACAATTCTTGCACACGTTCAATATCTTCCAATAATGGATACGACTGCCTGAAACTGCCAAGGGGTTTATCAAACAGTGGTCAGTTGCCAGTATCACGTGGATCTCACTTTCCCCGCAAAACTCAGGGTGTCTGCACCCGCCTTTGAATTTAAAGCTATACCTGTTTCATAATTTTAACTGGCTCAAACATCCACAATCACCTGTCAACCAAATCAGGAGTAACAATCTACCCTCAAGTATAATTAACTCCGGAAAAACCATAGCTTCATTAACTTATTACATACTAAAATGAGTCTAGCATACAACACAATTTATCCGTATAATAGCTGTGCCATCAACGGTTTTTCTTATTGACTTCAGCAAAGATCTGCACGACAGGTCGTACAGCCGAGGAATTTAAACAACAAGGAATCGGTTCTAACTTATACATCCAGAATAGCACGCGGCCGGAAGACAGTATCATAATACCTCGAGATGAGGCAGGGATTGCGAACTCTCTTTGGACCAAAGGGCTGTGTTTTCCAATGATGGGTAAGTTGTATCTCTATAACTCAGCTATGTTGATCTAGGAAAGTCTCTGTGTGGGTTCGGCGGCTCAGCGGACCATCATGCCGTGGGATTCGACGAATCAGAGTTTTCTTCCAAGTCAAAGTGCATCTTCTTGAAAGACAAGGAACCCACTTTATGCATACAAGCGAGCAATTTATGTAATAGGGATGTGCACGCAAAGACACAAGTTCTGGAGCACGGCTCAAGTCCAGAAGTGGACTAACAATCATAACTTTCCGCCGGAGTTTACAGCTTGTGAACATAAGGAAAAATGAAGAAGAGGGTCGACAAAATGGGATAACACGTCTTCTATATCTCGTATCCACTGTTGACTTAAGTGTTTGAACATAACCCAAACGAAACTGCTGAAAGTCTGTGTCTAGTTGTTTCAGAAATCACGGAAATATTACTTGTATGTAACCAAGCTAGTGTCAAGAAATTAATCTACCCTGAAAGAAATTTCATGGAAAAGTAAAAACGAACACAGGAATAATTGATTGTTTGGACAGGAGGCTTTATAGACAGACAAACATTCACACCCATAGGCAAACAAGAGCAGGGGTATCCTAGCATAAATATACATTAATGATAACTATGGAAATTTCTCTAATTATGCACGGTAGCGAAGGAACACATACGGCAGGGCAGTCCTACAATATCTAAAAACTTCCGGTCAAAATTGACGCTAGGCACGGGCGCTGTTTGGAGTTGAGGGAAATTGTTTGTTTCTGACAGACAGTGGCTGTTGCAATTTAGCTCCATTTGTAGACTCAAAGGATACAGTTTCGTCGCCCAGCTTCTGAGTTGAATACATGGCGTTACACTGTGAGCTGCGGATTTGATTTGGAATGATTTTTCGACTGTTACCAACGTGGTGGTGTGAATTTTAGATTTAGAAAATTTCGTGATACCTGTTGTCGCAATTTTGGTGGTGCCCTCGTGTGATTAAAATTGATCTCGTATGCAACTGCTGATCTGTTGGTGACTTCTGCTACCATCAATGATGAACTGCATTTCTAATGTCAAACTATTTGTGTTAGTACTTCGGATTGCTACCGTATGCTTTCAATGCGTGTGTATGCTAGATATGCTGAGACAGCAGTCTGTCAATCTTTCCACAAGAAACTGTAATAAACATTCTGTGTGTTTTTCGTTGGCACCGGAGTGGAGCAACGATGGGGTGACCCGTTTGCTATAAAGCTGAAACTAAGACTACCAGACAACCAGTCATACAACTATAACCCTATGGACTGCTGGGGAGTCAGGTAGCACAGTAATCAGAACGCTTGCCTGTCTGGCCAGTGGTCATGCGTTTCGATCCTCATAAACTAAATATTTGAATTTGCCTAAACAATTTTGGGGTTTGCACCAAGAAATGCTACGTGAGGTAGAATGGTCAGACCACCTAATTCAGAAACAGCAGACGAGAAGCAGTCCGTTATTTTATTTACCTAGTGAAAGTTGCATCGTTAGGAATACAACATATAGTGAAGAAAATTATGTTAAACTAGGAAAAGTGCTGGTGAGACAGCTGTAGTGATGAGATAATTAATGAGAATCAATGTTTGGCTCGTGCATGAAGTAATTAATATTCACGATTCAAAACTAGTGTGAAAAAGACTGAAGATGTAGCTAGGGTGAAACAAAAAAGAGAGAGAGAGAGAAAAAAGGAGAGAAATAAAAAAAAAGAGAACGAATACGTGTGTACCCATGACTGACTATTAGGATAATGACTCAGAGTGGTCTAGTTCCAGTTAAAACTGTTCGATTTATGTATCTACTTATCTAATCGATCGATCTATCTTCGATCTAGCTATCTTCTATCTATCTATCTATTTCTATCTAGCTATCTATCTTCTATCTATGCTTTATTGTTTGTCCCTTTTTTTTTTTATTGTTTTTCTATGTATCTATCTATCTATCTATGTATCTATCTATCTATCTATTCTATCTAATCTATCTATCTATCTATCTATATAAGTATCGTATCTATCTATCTATCTTATCTATCTATCTATGTATCTAGTCTATCTAGATAGCTATCTATCTGTCTTCTTTCTATCTATCTAATCTATCTATCTATCTATCTAATCATATCTATCAATCTATATATCTAGCTATCTATCTATCTATCGATCTAGCGATCTATCTATCTACGTATCTATCTATCGATCTATCTATCCCGATCTATCTATCTATCTATCTATCTATCTATCTATCATTCGTATATCTATCTATCTATCTATCTTCTATCTATCTATCGTTCTATCTATCTATCTATCTAATCTAGCTATCTTATCTATCTATCTATCATATCATATCTATCTATCTATCTATCTATCTATCTATCTATCTATCTATCTATCTATCTATCTATCGATCTCTCTATCTAGTCTATATATCTATCTATCTCATCTCTCCAATAAATTCATCTATCTATCTATCTATCAATCTATCTATCTATCTATCTAGCTATCTAACTATCTATCTATCTATCCTATCTATCTATCAATCTATCTAATCTATCTATCTATCTATCTATCTATCTACTAGCTATCTATCTCTGTCGTATTATCTATCTATCTATCCTATCTGTCCTATCTATCTATCTATCTATCTAACTCTGGTCTATCTATCTGTCTATCTAGCTATTCTAGCTAGCTATCTATCACCCATCTATCCTATCTATACTATCTCTCACATCTATCCTATCCTATCTATCTATCCATCTATCATATCTATCTATCTATCTAATCTATCTAGCTAATCGATCTATCTATCAATCTATCTATCTATCTATTATCTATCATATCTATCTATCTAGCTAATCTATCTATCTATCTATCTATCTACTCTAATCTATCTACCTATCTACCGTCTATCTATCTATCTATCTATCTATCGATCTATCTATCCAATCTATCTATCAATCTATCTATCTATCTTATCTATCTAGTCTATCGTATCTATCTATCTATCTATCTATCTATCTATACTATCTATCTATCTATCGATCATATATCTATCTACCTATCTATCTATCTATCTTCTAGCTATACTAGCTATC